AACCCTTTCAAATTAGTAAATTAAGGATTCCCAATTTGGGCTTTCAGTGCCTTTAAATAGGGGTATCTTTTGAACTTGTGGACTCTTGCTTCTGGATCTGCTCCTTGATGTACGAGTCCATTTTGACATGGTATCATCTGAGGAGGAACTGGACGATGGCGATCTATTTCGTTTACTCTTTTTGGTCTTCCTGCCCCTGCTTTGTTCCTTATGAGTCAGATACCCCATCACATTGGGTTTATCTTGGGAAGTAATTGGAGCCGAAGCAGATGTTGATATGTATTTTTCATTGCTCTTCTTTTCACTATTTCCTTTCTTCTTGGATGGGAAGTGAAGATCCTGTTCAAACTTAGAGCTCAGCTGAATTGGTATTAGATCTTGGAAATCAGCACTCTTTAACTTTCCATTCAGGTGTGTGCTTGTTTTTTGTTTGGCCCCTTTGAAAGGATCTGAAATGTATCCTGAAGGGGGAATGACAGATGTCAATTTGTCTATAATTAGCTTCTGTTCCTTCCCTGTTTCTGCGGCTTGGCTGGGGTTTGAACTGTGTCAGCTGTAAGTGTAAGCGACTTGTCGATGCTTTTCTCTATATCAAATTGATTGGTCAGTACAGGTGGCGTGTTGTACAATTGGCCCATGGAATCAACATCCAATTTCAGGACAACTTGCGACCGTAAGGAGTTGACTTCATCACGAAGCATTTGAATGCTTTTGTTCATTTTTAGTAAAGTCAAATGCAGTTGCGTAGCACTTGTATCCTCTGTTTTTTGTATCGACTGGTTTGCTGAAGTCTCTGGCTGAGCCTTCTTGATGGTGACAACACCTGCCTCACTCCATTCTGTCCATTGAGAGAGTGCAATCTGGGTAAGATAAGCCACATCATTAAAGTCGAACTCTTCTTTTGTTTCCCTAAGCATGAGAATTCTTTTAGCTTTAGCTTGTCCGATACCCTCAAATGATTTCAGGACTGTCTCTGAGGCGTTGTACTGATTGACTGGTTTACTAGCAGCCATTGTCAGTTATGAATATTTTATTTTTCAAAATGGTTACAAAATAGGAAATAGAATGATAGTTTAGAGCAAAAGCAGAGCCAGTGGCCCCAATACCTACACAGAATATGGGGCTATATTGTCAAAATACAGGAAATACAATCTCAGTGATTATCACTCTATTTTTCCAATTGAATTTGAAATAATTAATCAAGTAAATACTCAAGGAATAATCTAAATTTGAAAAGCAAAGACAATTATATGTCACGAAATGCGCGCCGTATATACCAAAAGCGAGGGAAAGTAGGTCACGTGATTTTTGTTTTCCTAAAATTTGGAATTTATCGTAAAACATGAAAATTAATCAACTTTACTGTAACAGATTAATGTTTTGACAATAATTTATCCTTAAAAATATGGTTATAATAAGCAAAAACTTGTATTTATTCGTTACAAATCACGTTGTGAAACATCAACATACGCAAACACGTGGTTCGTGAGATGCTCTGTGATTTCACAAAAAAATATGCTGTTGCAAGTTGGTAACCAAGAAAAGCATAATTTCGCAGATTCCACAGCTACCGGCGACGCCAATGTCGTAATGGTCGACGAATTACGTGACAAATCCCTCCAGATTAGGTCGATAAGACAGGCTATGTCTAGCAGACATCTGGCAAGATGAAGGTCAGGGAGATCAATGTTAGTCGAGATAGGTCGTGCACGGATGAGTCGGGCTGTGGTACCACAATATATTGGAGATGTAAGTATTCTCTCCCCAAATAAAAACATGCAAATGAAATATTGTTTTATTCTCATTTTATATAAAAAATTACAATTATGTTATTTAACAAAAAAAATATTCAGAACTTTATTGATTAAATAGAAGAAACTCTTTGAATGTTTGGGATGTATGCTTTCTCTCCAAATAGCTGTGTATGAATTATTCAATCTTTTTTCCCTGATTTTTTTAATGAATACGACATAGACACATTACAATGCATTCGTTCTGATCAACTCAAGAACTGCAAACTAAAATACATACAAAGTTTTATCGAAAGAGAGAAAAATGTTTACTGAGATTATCTAAATTCACCCGACTTATATCTTCTCTGAGCTGTAAACATTTTAACTTCGCATATAAGTACATTAAGGTTAAAGATAACGTCTCAAGACTTAATGAAACATAGACCCAGTTTAAGTTCTTTAAAACATTTTCATGATGTGTACCTCTATACAATTACGATATTTTTGTGTTTCATGCTTTATGTTTAATGCACTAAACAGCTTGACGAATTTCCCTTTTTGAAAATCAGGGATTTTATATTTATTCGTCCAAATATGTTCTTTTCTCGTACACAGGATTTTTTCTGAGCATCTTTTCCAAAATGAGTATAACATTTGTTTTTTTTCTTGTTATTTTGGATTTTTTTTTTAAATGTAACTACGGGAATTTGACAAAGTACATTGGCGTCGGAAGCAACTTAAAAGCTGGTGCCGGGGGCTAAGTGTAAGAATTTTTTTTAGACCATCAAAAATACCAGACAAGCCAAAAAAAAAAAGAAAAGAAAAAGAAGTGGGAATATGTCCATGCCAAAACATGATAATCCTATTTCGAGGTGGGGTGGGATGGGGTTATCGAACTTCTTTCAGTACCATTATTTTCCAAACACCACCACTTTTCTTATATTTTACCTATACTGCAACGTGTCTGTGAAAAGTGGGTAAATGGAGAAATTGTGTTCATTCTGCTCATTTACATACTTGCCATATTTGAGCTAATGGCAGCAGATTCCATCAAGATTTATATGGGGAACTTACAAAAATTTGCAAATTTTTTTATAATATAGTTCTTCCGCCGATTCTTTGATTTTTCTTTTCTGGAAATTACAATAATGTTAATGCTAAAGTGAAAGATGCAACCGCCTTTTTAATTTGAAAATTTGAAGCGAGAGTACATTGTTTTAATGAAGGAAAGAGAACCAAATTAGTGTTTTTCTCTATTTTGGTGACGAAATTTAAGTGTTTATTGCAAGATGACAAAGTTCTTCCGCCGATTAATAGGTGCAAACGAATGTCTTTTTTTCCACTAAATATAAATCTTTTAACATTATATGAAGAGTTACTACCACCTTCTAAATTTAAAAAGGCAATTTGTTCTTGCATCCGTGTAACCAACTTATTAAGACAAACGGTATCATTCATTGCCAGCTGATAATCGCGCTAAATTCTATGACGGAGGCTTGAAGAAATAAAAATTAAATAGTCTTTCATGTTTCTTTTTTTTTAAATAAAAGAAATGATTTTATTTGAATTTTTGGCAGGATCTTATGAATATTAATGAGAAGTAAATCAAACGTATTGGGCGTATTAACTGTCACGTAAAGAAATATTCCAAGATTATCTTAAGAGTTTTATTTTTTTTAAACGAATTTTATATCGATAGAAGCAACGATATGATTTATCTAATTTTGCAAATATTGAAAGAAATGATTCGAAAAAGACACTTTTTTTTTTTATTTTATAAAGATGAACAGGTATTGCAAAATCTAATTAAGTTTAGTTTACTTTCTCAGTTAATTGTTTAATTATCGTGGTTTTACTCTCATGTTACAATTAATAGCACAGATGGTGCATTTGAAAAACAAGTCATATTCTTCGGCCCTCTTTAAATATTGTTTATTTGCTCTCTTCAGACCAACTGCCTGAAAATAGACCTACTCAAACAACTTTTTTAACCCTCCCCCGGGGATTAAGATATAGATGTTCTATAATCTTTTACTTTTAATTTTATTATTCCATCAAAGAAAAAATTCCAATCTATATACCCGAGGACCATTTTGTACCCTTATTTGGGAGAGGGCAAGCAAACATTGTTTGAAGATGACCCGATTTATTTTTTTCATTGGCATTTGTTTTCCCTGCTTTTTTGTATATTCTGTTGAGAGAAAAAACTTTTATTAGTATGTAAAGCTGATGCACAGCCTTTTGTACCTGTGAATAAGTACACGAGTGCTTTGTAATGTTGGATTAAATCTTTAGGAAGAGATGTTTTTACTTGAATAAATGTTTGCTTTTATGTCGCTTTACGTACCAATCGAGAGTTGTCTACTCATATACTAGTGAAGGGTTTAAAATCTTATCCTCACACGGTACAGTACTCAAGGGGCACTCAGGGGCATTGAGCAGCCAGACATATAGCGTGCCTCTAAGTCAAATGCTGACAGGGGTTTTTCATACTAATTGTTAGTCCAAAATTTAATTTATACACTAAATTATCGACGGGTTTTCACGTTTTTCCAGATCAAGACAATGATCACACGGCAGATGTGACCGGTTGGCAGGGAATGCTCACTCCTCCATGAAACCTGATCCCAACTCTGATGTTTTAGGGGTCCGTCTTTGCTCCCCTCCTATTTTGTATTGTTTTATGGAATTTAATATTGAACACTGTTCGTTATCTCCATATCCTTTTTCCGAAGCATCAGTGCAATGTATCTTCTACTTTAAAATATCGAACTCCTGGCAAAAAAAAAAAAAAAAAAAAAACAAAAAAAAAACAGGCTCTACCTATTTTTATCAACTAAGGTCTGTTGCTGATGGGAATGTATCGAAATGCATTTGAGTAACTTTCATGAAATTGTTTGCAAAAAGATTCAAAGTAAGATACATTTAGATACAGACAGATGGACAAAGCTAGTGCGAAAGAAATACTGGTCCCTGACCCATTGAGCTACAAATGTTAGTACATTAAAAGTCGTTTAGAATTCACAGTTATAGTAAAGTTTTTTTGGTTCCCTGGAAAAATTCTTCATAATGCTTTGTAAAATTTTACGGTTATAACGAACTCTTATATAACGAATTTACGGATATAGCAAACTAATTTTAAGTCCCGTAGAGGTAAAAATGTAATGAAATTTATGTACATCTTTCATAACGAGTTTTCAAATATCTCAAATTTTGATAATTGAACTGACTTTATTTTGTCGATTGTGGTTTCCTCATACTGTCTTCTTTTGTGTTGTCGATGTTGATTTAACAAGTGGCCTTGCACTGTTCCTTCGTTTCAAAATTGTTTCGTTTCCCCGGCATCCCCCGTAGACAAACTCTTTACATTCTTGTCCATTAAAATAATACCTCTTGAAATATGCTTAACATGGACCTGTTATTCTTGGCTGTTCACAAATAGGGTAAGACGCTAAAAAGGGATATCATCAATGTGCATTTTAAAAATAATGTTATAACATATTTTTTGTAAATTTACTGCATATTTTATCGACTCATAACAAGCATTGAATCAATAAAATTGAAATTTCTTTTCAAATTGTTCTCACTAAACAGTTATATCTAAGAGCTATAGTTTGTCAAATTAATATAAATTTAAGAACACAGATATTGCGTCCAAAGGCCCCAAGAATCAAATAGATTATTACGAAAAGCACAACTCATCGATTTATTTTACAAGATAGGTGACTATTTGTGAAATTTCGTCTCCATCTGTAAAAATATGTAGTTTTAATTTATTTAAACCAAAGTTAATGGAGTTTAATTTAAATCCAGAGAGTGCTTGTGATTTTTTTCCTTCATAAGTTATAAAAGATTATCCAGAAAATTTACCGCACCTGTGTCAGTTTCATTTTGTCTATATCGACGTAATCACGAATAGAAATCGTCAAAAAGTTTGTTGTTACCGCCACATCCACTTTACCAGGTTTTTTCACAGAGACCAGATATGGAATTATAGAACCATTTAGAAGAGTAATCCTTGCATGTTCCAAGTTCAGAGTTCATTTGGCAAACTCCAACTGATGTCACCCAAGGTTCTACAATCGAAGCAACAGTCTCTATGTCTATAGCCAAAAAAAATTTTAATTGTATATTGTTTACCGTCCCTCTCGAGAATTTTTCACTCATATGGAAATGCCACCACTTGATGGCGGAGAGTTGCAAATTTTGTCATTTACTCTGCACTCAAGGCCATTGACCAGGGAGGGACCTTTTTCGTGCCAACGCCTACTGCAACACAGGGCCTCGGTTTATACGGTCTCATCCGAAGGACCGGCCTCCATGTCCCACACTGGGATTCGAACCCGTGATGTAAGGATTGACTCCTTGCTTCGTGACTCTAGAGCAGACGTTCTAACCACTGCGCCACGTGGGCGACAGAATGATGGGGAAATTAAAATCTTAACTTCAAACAATAGTTATGGAATATCAATTAAAAAGAATTCTTATGATGTGTTCAACACCTCTTTCATTCAGACTAAAATATAACGATGAATTTGATTCAAAAGAATACAAAGAAACATTAAGGGAATTAACAACAATCAAACTCAAATTGCATGTTTTCATGAGTTTTATCTAAAGATTGAAGCCTATTTAATTAATCTTTTGTTATACATATAACATAACTTTGGGCAGTTTACGCTTTATATCCTGCGAAGCGGTTTATAAATAAGCGTAAATTGTCCAATGGTATGTTACTTGGTATAACATAAGTTGAAATAAGCTTTATTTCTTATAATTTACTTTCAATGAAGACAATAAGACAATTTCTTCTTCTTCGCGAAAAGGCCTTGAATTTAGCATATTTCAAAAATAAAGTCAAGCAGAGTAATAGGCTTTTGACGTAAATCATTGTGACGTAGGCTAGTTGTGTTATACAACATGGATAAAGTCTTCTATCCAATCAAATAACGTGTTACAGCTAGAACTGAATTAATGATATTGAATCGATGTACATTTCTAATGATAATGCAATTACAAAAGATATCTTTCAGTGTATATTAATGTTCCTTTAGTCCAAACAGTTGCAATAAGGTTTACTTGTACATGTATACAAATTCACCTAAGATCATAACAAAACCTGCATGACAAGTAGCACTGTGAATTGATTTTAAAACATTTTCATTCATTGAACCATGTCCAAAATTCTTCAAAATCAAAAATCGAAAAAATTTTGTTGTCTTTATGATTAATTTTTTCTCCAAATTTGAATGGAAATAATTGAGTAGAAACTAGAATTTACAGACGGACGGACGGACAGGAAGACAGTGGTCAAATAACCGCACATTGAACAAAGGTGAGGAAACCGATGTACTTCTGATGTGTATGGTCTTATGGTCTTTGATCATTAGAATGTCAAAATAATTAATTAAGTTTATATTCAAGTAAATTTAAAAAAAATGAAACGTTAACTAAAACGTGATCGAATTATAAAGCAATGTCATTCAGTTAACAAATGAGAAAAAAAAATAGTAATCACTTACCTATTGAATATACAGAGGACAGCATCCAAATGTTAGCGCTAAGAAAATATATAAACCTAATCTTACACTTCACATTCGTATTATTGTAAGTTTAATTGGATTAATAAGATATTAATAAATTTAATAAACTGTTATCACTATATGAATATTAAATACTTTTTCGCCTGATGCCCGCTTATGATGTTTACCTTTCTTACATTAACATTGAATTCCGTATAGAAAATTGCAAGTACAACAATTATATCACTGCCTCCCCCCAATTCGAGTTTCAAGTAGTTGAAGTTGTTATGTAGAATTACTAGGCTGAGAATTTTTGGGGCAATCCAGGTTCAAGGAGAAAGAGAAAATCTATGTATGTACTAAGAAAAGATATTTATAATGATTAATTTAAACCATGATGAGATTTTTTCACCTGATTGAAAAATATAGACAAAATGTTATCGCTGCATTGGGCTGTAAAGTACATGTAATGAATAGATACATGTACTAGAAGATCTGGGTTTTTTATGAGGAAGATTTTATATAAAAAAAAATTACCGTGGCTTTCGTGTTAAAATTTAGATATATCAAAGACATTTCATAAATGAAAATATATTTCTAATTCCCACAATCACTAATTATATCATTTAGAACATCGCATAAAAGAGTCGGTTTCATCTGTTTCATGTTTTACTTCTGATTTCTATCGTCTTTGAATTCAAAACTCACTGTTATCACCTGCCGATAGAAACTATTTTTCCCAGGTGATTTCATACCTTAGAGCTTCTTCTAGTGCGGACAATTCCTAAAATCGGGTAGCTTCTTTTTATAAGATTAACAACAGTCTCGTTTAAAGAGGCTAGGTAGTCATCAAATTATTTTTTTTAACCACCAGATATAACTTAAATTTTGGGATATGGTATCTTAAGCTGCCAACTTTTATTTGGCAAAGAAAAATTTAATAAATTTTAATTTTTTTAGAATTTGATTATTTATTACATCTTTACATGGAGCTCTTCTTCTAAAGGAAATCAAAATGGTCTAAAAATCGCCACGACCACCCAGCCTCTTTTAAGCCAAACGTAAGGTCGATTAAACGAATATGACAGATGCAATCTTTTATAAATTTGAATGTGAAAGGACGGATCTAGACAAATGTGGATGTGACCCCCTCTCCCTTACAAATGTACCAATATTCAAACCAGAGTAGCGTATCTTTTCCTTTTATAATGTAAAGTACGCCCTGGTTACATGATTTTTTTAATCATCTCATTAGCTCTAGGATAATATTATACATATATGACATGGCCTCGAGGGTGACATACCAGAATATTTGCCCCGAGGTGACAGGAAAGCCCTGGAGTGCTATGTCACCCGATGCCGAAGGCAGCGGGTGACATAACACTCCAGGGCTTTCCTGTCACCGAGGGGCAAATATTCTGGTATAGTCACCCTAGAAGACATGTGGTATATGTTATATGACATTTTTAAAATTAAAAGATAACAAAGCTAGTCACCAAAGAAGACACGTGGTATAAGTTATATATGACATTTTTTTTTAAGATTAAATATTAACAACTGAATTCTAAAGCTTGAACAGATTTTTATTAGTTTCAAACTGAGACAAATAAAAATTATTAACTTTTAAAATTTTGATTCGAAATGTCAATAGTAATGGTAATGAACGTTCACCGTACTTCCATGAAAATTCATAACTGGGGCTGCATGCTGAAATTTAAGATTTCTGTTTTCTTTTTCTTCATGCTTGGATAGTAATGGAGCGTTTCTTGAGTCTACAGGAACATGAATTATTTCACGGTTCACAGATGTTTTCCTAGTTTCACTTGTGAAAACTGTCTCCAACATGTGTTGCTCCTGGGAATTTGTAATTTCAAGAAAATCAATGTCTGTAAAAAATGGAATAAAAATGAAAATCCTTATGCAGAGTAGAAAAGTTAAATAATAAAATTGGACAAGTTTATTGTACATACCTTCAAATGTAATATCATCCTCACCATCTGCATTCTGGGGTGGCAGCACAGCGGCAGGGTTGGTAGATAAACCCAAAACATTTTTTGTTTTTTCCGCTGAAAAAAAATGTATTGTCTATGTATTTATAAGTAATATAATTTAAACAAATCATAAATATTTTGTTACATGTATGATTATATTAATAAGCTTACGTACCAAGAACTGAATCTCCCATAATAGCCCTTGAAATAGACATGGCCATGTCCATCTTCTTTTCGTCGCAAACATGAGCTGAACAACTCCTTATGCTGCTTTCTGATTGGTGTCCCGAGATTGACGTGATATGTCGGGCTTCGAATCCGGATCTGTCTAATTCTGTGATAGAAGTTGCCCTCAAACAGTGGTTTGTGTAAATTTTTGATAGTCCTGCATTTTTTGAGAGATTTTTCATTTTTTCTGCAAGAGTGTTCTTTCCGACAGCTACTTTATCATACTTGAGTTGGCTTTTGTTACTCGGTCTTTGCCAAAGCACATCTAAATCTTTGTTCAGTTTTTCGATGTAGGTCACAAAAGACGAATATGGGCAATGCGGTTGATCTTTAAGTTCGTACATTCTCCCACCTTGACTGTTACTTTCGTCATCTTTGTGGTTCTTTGTAGCGTGATCTCGTTGCTTGAATATGAATCTCCTGCCTTCACTATCTGTACCAGTAGAAAAGTCACTAATTCTTAAACCTATTAAATTCTCCCTTCCTCTATTACAAAAATAGAGCATGTAATGAACAAAGACTTTGTCTTGTAGTCCCTGAGCGGTTTCCACATTAAAAAACATATAAAGTTTCTGTAAATCTGATCTTGTAATGGGTTCTTTGTGTACTACTGCTCCTTTGCCCTCCTTTTTAATTTTGGCACACATGGCAAGAAATACCGTATTTGCCTCCTTAAAATCGGAATCATTTACAATATCTATCTTTCTTTTCTTCATGAAATACTTCTGTAAACCATGTCTGATTGATATCATACTTCTCTTTGCATAAGCTTCTCCATCTGCACTTCGTAAACCCCCATAAAATACTTTAAGAAATTCCTGGAGCTCGGATTTCGGTATTGCGTACAAGTCGGAAACATCTCGTCCAGTTTCATCACAGAAGCTCCTCAAAACACTTACACTTGAACTGATCACCCGAATTGTGTTTACTGATTTTTTTTTTTTTTCAATTAGATTGTTCAAATCACTGGAACTAAGATTTACAAAGCGAAGTTGCTTTTCCGTCATTTTGAATCGCCCACTGTTGACGTTTGCTTAGCAACTGAATGTCGAACCCGAGCTTAAATGAGTAATGTAAAAACACGTGAACGTGATCGAAATAGTGACATAACTGTTTCCGGCGAGGGTTGACATAACTGTTTCCGGCCGGACATAACTGTTTCCGGTGTGACTCGGCATTTTTCAGGGTTTATAGCGAAACTTATCACATTTGTGATATAATAGGAAAACTTGTTCAAAAATTGTGGAAACCGCTCAGGGACTACAAGACAAAAGTGTTTGTTGGTACATGCTCTATTTTGTGATGAGGAAGGGAGAATTTAAATAGGTTAAAAATTAGTGACTTTTCTACTCGTACAGATAGTGAAGGCAGAGATCATACTAGACAACGAGATCACAGCTCAAAGAACCGCAAAGATGACAAAAGTAACAGTCAAGGTGGGAGAATGTCAAACTTAAAATCAACCGGCATTGCCCATATTGGTTACTGTACATCGAAAAACTGAACAAAGATTTCAATGTGCTTTGGCAAAGACCGATAACAAAAGCCAACTCAAGTATGATAAAGTAGCTGTCGGAAAGAACACTCTTGCAGAAAAAATGAAAAATCTCTCAAAAAATGCAGGTATCAAAAATTTTACACAAACCACTGTTTGAGGAGCAACCCTATCACAGAATTAGGAGCTGCTCCAACATAGTAGTCATACTCAGAAACCTCAATCAGAAAGCGGCGTGAGGAATTGTCACTCAGTGTTGCAACAAAAAGAAGTGGACATGGCCATGTCTAACTTCAAAGGGCTATTATGGGAGATTCTGTAGGTAGACTTATTAAGATATAATACATACATGTAACAAAATATTTATGATTTGTTTTAAATTATATTACTTATAAATACATAGACCATACGTTTGCAGCAGAAAAACAAAATGTTTTGTGGGTTTATCTACCAACCCTCACTGTGCTGCCACCCCCAATGCAGATGGTGAGGATGATATTACATTTGAAGGTATGTACAATAAACTTGTCCAATTTTATTATTTAACTTTTCTACTCTGCATTAAGGATTTTCATTTTTATTCCATTTTTTACAGACATTGATTTTCTTGAAATTAGAATTCCCAGGAGCGACGCATGTTGGAGACAGTTTCAGCGAGTGAAACTAGGAAAACATCTGTGAACCGTGAAATAATTCAATTGTCCTGTAGGAGGCTCAAGAAACGCTCCATTACTATCCAAGCATGAAGAAAAAGAAACAGAAATCTTAAATTTCAGCATGAGCCCCAGTTATGAATTTTCATGGAAGTACGGTGAACGTTCATTACCATTACTATTGACATTTGGAATCAAAATTTTAAAAGTTAATAATTTTTCTATTTGTCTGAGTTGAAACTAAATAAAAATCTGTTCAACTTTTCAATTCAGTTGTTAATATTTAATACTTAAAAAAAAAAATGTCATATATAACTTATACCACGTGTACTCTTTGGTGACTAGCTTTGTTATATTTTAATTTTAAAAATGTCATATAACATACCACATGTCTTCTCAGGTAGCTCTCAGAATATTTACCTCGGTGACGGAAAGCCCTGGAGTGTTATGTCACCCGCTGCCTTCGGCATCGGGTGACGTGGCGCTTCCAGGGCTTTCCCTCACCTCGGGGCAAATATTCTGGTATGTCACCCTCGAGGCCATGTCATATATGTATAATATTATCCTAGAGCTAATGAGATGATTAAAGAAAAAAAATACATATAACCCAAGACATCTTTACATTATAAAAGGAAAAGATACGCTACTCTGGTTTGAATATTGGTACATTTGTAAGGGAGAGGGGGTCACATCCACATTTGTCTGATCCGTCCTTTGGCCGTTCAAATTTACATAAAAGATTGCATATTTCATATTCGTTTAATCGACCTTACGTTTGGCTTAAAGAGGCTGGGTGGTGGTGGCAATTTTGACCATTTTGATTTCCTTTTAGAAGAAGAAGCTGCCATGTAAAGATGCTAAAATAATCAAATTCTAAAAAAATTAAAATTTATTTAAATTTTTCTTTGCCAAATAAAAGTTGGCGGCTTAAACATCATATCCCAAAAATTAACATTATATCTGGTGGTTAAAAAAAAATAATTTGATGACTACCTAGCCTCTTTAAACGAGACTGTTGTTAATCTTATAAAAAGAAGCTACCCGAATTTTAAATATGCCGCACTAGAAGAAGCTTGTAAGTAAATCGCCTGGGAAAAATATTTTCTATGGGCAGGTGATAACAGTGAGTTTTGATTCAAAGACAATAGAAATCAGAAGTAAAACATGAAACAGATGAAACCGACTCTTTTTTATGCGATGTTCTAAAATGATATAATTAGTGATTGTGGGAATTAGAAATATGTTTCCATTTATGAAATGTTCTTGATATATCTAAATTTTAACACAAAAGCCACGGTAATTTTTTTTTATATAAAATCTTCCTCATAAAAACCCAGATCTTATTAGTACATGTATCTATTCATTACATGTACTTACAGCCCAATGCAGCGATAACATTTTGTCTATATTTTTCAATCGGCAATTAAAAATCTCATCATGGTTTAAATTAATCATTATAAATATCTTTTCTTAGTACATACATAGATTTTCTCTTTTTTCTATTTTGAACCTCAATTGCCGAAAATTCTAAGCTTACAGTAATTCTTCATAACAACTTCAACTACTTGAAACTCGAATTGGGGGAGGCAGTGATATAATTGTTGTACTTGCAATTTTCTATACGGAATTCAATGTTAATGTAAGAAAGGTAAACATCATAAGCGGCGGTCAGGCAAAAAGTATTTTAATATTTGGTATGAGTAACAGTTTATTAAATTTATTAATATCTTATTAATCCAATTAAACTTACAATAATAGAATGTGAAGTGTAAGATTAGGTTTATATATTTTCTTAGCGCTAACATTTGGATGCTGTGCCTTGTATTCAATAGGTAAGTGATTACTATTTTTTCTCATTTGTTAACTGAATGACATTGCTTTATAATTCGATCATCTTTTAGTTAACGTTTAATTTTTTTATGAAAATTACTTATAAACTTATTCAATATTTTGACATTCTAATGATCAAAGACCATAAGACCATACACATCAGAAGTACGTCGGTTTTCCTCACCTTTTAGTTCAATGTGCGGTTATTTGACCACTGTCTTCCTGTCCGTCCGTCCTACTGTAAATTCTAGTTTCTACTCAATTATTTCATTCAAATTTGGAGAAAAAATTAATCATAAAGACAACGAAAATTTTTTCAATTTTTGATTTTGAAGAATTTTGGACATGGTTCAATGAATGAAAATGTTTTAAAAATTAATTCACAGTGCTACTTGTCATCAGGTTTTGTTATAGATCTTAGTTGAATTTGTATACATGTTCGGCACAAGTAAACCTTATTGCAACTGTTTGCAACTAAAGGATTATTAATATACACTGAAAGATATCTTTTGTAATTGCATTATCATTAGAAATGTACATCAATTTCAATATCATTAATTCAGTTCTAGCTGTAACACGTTATTTGAATTGGATAAAAGTTTGTCCATATTTGTGTATAACACAACTAGCCTACGTCACGATGATTTTTTACATCAAAAGCCTATTACTCTGCTTGACTTTATTTTTGAAATATGCTAAATTCAAGGCCTTTTCACGAAGAAGAAGAAATTATTGTCTTCATTGAAAGTAAATTATAAGAAATCAAAGCTTATTTCAACTTATGTTATCCAAGTAACATACCATTGGACAATTTACACTTATTATTTATTAAACCACTTTCGCAGGACACATTTAGACTGCCAAAGTTATGTTTATATGTATAACAAAAGATTAATTAAATAGGCTTCAAATCTTGATAAAAGTTGGATTGAAAACATCCCAATTAAGTTCATATTTGTAGATTCCCTTAATGTTTCTTTGTATTCTTTTGAATCAAATTCATCGTTATATTTTACAGTCTGAATGAAAGAGGTGTTGAACACGGTCATAAGAATTCTTTTTAATTGATCTCCCATAACTATTGTTTGAAGTTTGAGTTTTAATTTCCCATCCATTCTGTCGCCCACGTGGCGCAGTGGGTTAACGTACTATTAGTCACGAAGCGAGAAGATCAATCCTTACATCGCGGGTTCAAATCCCAGTGTGGGACATGGAGGCCGGTCCTTTGGATGAGACCGTATAAACCGAGGCCCTGTGTAGTAGGCATTGGCACGAAGGGTCCCTCCCTCATTGGCCTTGAGTGCAGAGTAAATCGACAAAATTTCAACTCTCGCCATAGAAGTGATCCTGGTCCTGTGAGTGAAAAATTCTGAGAAGGGACGGTAAACAATATACAATTAAAATTTTTTTTTGGCTATAGAGCATCAAGCTGTTGCTTTGGATTTGTACAACCTTGGGTGACATCATTTGGAGTTTCAAATGAACTCTGAACTTGGAACATGCAAGGATTACTCTTCTAAATGGTTCTATAATTCCATATATCATCTATGTGAAAAAACCTGGTAAAGTGGATGTGGCGGTAACAACAAACTTTTTGACGATTTCTATTCGTGATTACGTCGATATAGACAAAATGAAAACTGACACAGGTGCAGGAGTAAATTTTCTGGATAATCTTTTATAACTTATGAAGGAAAAAAATCACAAGCACTCTCTGGATTTAATTAAACTCCATTTAACTTTGGTTTAAATAAATTAAAACTACATATTTTTACAGATGGAAACGAAGTTCACAAATAGTCACCTATCTTGTAAAATAAATCGATGAGTTGTGCTTTCGTAATAATCTAACTAAGAAAATTGTGGGCCTTTGATAGCAATATATCCTGTTCTTAAATTTATATTAATTTGACAAACTATAGCTCTTAGATATAACTGTTTAGTGAGAACAATTTGAAAAGAAATTTCAATTTTATTGATTCAATGCTTGTTATGAGTCGATAAAATATGCAGTAAATTTTACAAAAAATATGTTATAACATTATTTTTAAAATGCACGTAATTATAATCCCTTTAGCGTCTCCTATTGTGAACAGCAAGAATAACAGGTCCATGTTAAGCATATTTCAAGAGGTATTATTTTAATGGACGAGAGAATGTAAAGAGTTTGTCTACGGGCAATGCAGAACTGATTTTTGAAACGAAGGAACAGCAAGGC